AAAGTTTGATACCAAGTAGAGTGCACGCGAGTTGGCGAGTCTCAACGTCGTAAGTTTCACAGGGGACAATCTTAGGTCCACTTCGCTTCCTGATATTTATTAACGACCTGTTAAATACAGTTACCTTTCCGGCACTGATCTACGCAGACGATGCAAATATTTGGAGGTCCATTAGAAGCGAAGAAGATTCGACTGAACTTCAAAAGGACATTACATCTATTGAGGATTAGGCAGTGAAAAACGGTTTAAAACTAAAGCAACCGAAGTGTAATGCCATGTACATTCTGCCCCGCGTGACGCAAACCACTCACACCCTCAATGGAAGTCCGCCCCTCAATGTCTCCTCAGAGCGCTATCTCGGGTAATTAACCACTGAAAGCCTCCACATAAGCCCTATGTAGGGGACGCAGACAAGTCATATGCAACTCTTCACTTCATGCGGAGACAATTTGGTGCTATCATCCCACAATTATTCTCAACGTAGTTCAAGGTATATGCGCGCCCACACCTTGAGGTTCACAACGTCATCACACCCCCTCTCCTTAAAAGAGACATTAGTCTCTTGGACCGAGTGCAGAGACGAGCAGCGAAATGGGTGATAGGGTTGAAAAATAAACCTTAAGATGATAAACTCCAGCACTTCGGATTATTTCCACTGAGTTACAGGAGAATCAGAGGTGATCTGATTATGGCGTACAACATATTTAGCACACCGAAACATTCCAACGTGAGCATCTTACCGATGTGTCACCACCACACCCCTCGAGTAAATCCTCGAATTATTGCACATCAAAGAGTGAATACTCGGGTTCGTGCACATTGTTTCTCATTGAGAGTCGTAACAACATGGAATGCTCTCGCAGCTGAGATGACCACAGGACCCCATTGCACAGCGTTAAAAAGATACTTGATAAAAACGTACTCATATAAGGACTATAATGCCCCCTTAGACAAGCCGTGCCTGATGCACGTCTCGAGAATTTCTTGTTGCCATTATTGCCATCCACTCAGATCACTAACTTAATCTATCTCCCCTATTATCTCTATTTTCTCTCTCTTGCTTACACTTCGGTCCTCTCTCACAATCTTCACTTCCAATTAATAAACTAAATTATCTACTGAATTACTTAGTTCTGGAATCTTCTTATTAGTATGAGAATTTTCTCCTTGTTATTCTCCACGTTTCAACTAACTGACACACCTTACGTCTATCAAGTCACCACGCCTGATAGCTGTAACACTCAGGAACCGGGAAGACCTGACTGAAACACTACAAGCTTGGTACAGTTCGAAGAACGATCTACCTAGCCACATCAGATGTTGCGAGAGCCGACCTAGATCTGTGAGACAACAACAAGGAGGCCAAAATGAACGCACACAGCTGATAGTTAAACTCGGTCAACTACCTCTGGCTCAAGATGTGAGTTAACCAACCGCGCAGGCAAAAAACCTGCAGAGGCCAGTTCCCACAGAACTGGCCGACTCGGTTTAAATAACATGTCTGAAAACCCGACAAAGGCTGATGCTGCAAATGTGCACCAGGTTCAGAGACAAACCACCAAGTGACTCTATAGCAACGTAAGAGGACTAGGGGGTAAGCTGTTAGAAGTCAGGAATATGCGCTCTCAGATGGATCTGAAGATCATAATCCTAACAGAAACATGGCTATCCCCTGACATTGCAGACGCAGAAGTGGGCTTACCAGGCATGACACTCTTCCGAAGCGATAGGGAACACCAAACTGGAGGTGGAGTGGCTATATATGTAAATAGCCACTCAAAAGCAGAGCGGCTACACAACACCCAACTAACTGAGGTGACAGAATCATGTTGGTGTTGGTTCCACTCAAATGGCACGAAATACTTGATTGGAGGGATCTACCGACCTCCTTCGGGTACTAGGGCCCAGAAAAGCAATCTGATTGAGGTAATTCTGCAACTGCCACTCCTAGGGTTTGATCAAATACTCTTAGCCGGAGACTTCAATACCCCATCTTTAAATCTCAGCAGTCACAGTATAACTCCCACTGGCTGGTTCCAAAGACAACTTGGTACAGCCATTAGAAGCTCTGGCCTGACTGAGCACGTACTCAGCGCCACTAGGTGGACTAAGGAAGGGAAGTCCTCAAACCTAGATTATCTGTTTACGAATGACCAGCTTCTGGTTGAGGATATTCTCGTGCGCGCTCCAGTAGGTAGTAGTGACCATGGCACAGTTCTTTTTAACATGGTGACAAATGAAACATTGACTTCGGACGATAACGAGCCTTACCTTTGCTACAGTAGGGCAAACTACACACGCATGAGAGAGGTGCTGCTACATGATTCATGGCCACGGGAGTGGTGGAGGCTGACAGTAGATGATCACTGGCAAGCAGTGAGAGATATCATCCAAAACGCTGTCGTAGACAACGTACCTCAGTCACACCCAAAACGCCAGAACAGAAGAACCTGGGTTAGGCTTGGCACGGAACGCTTGCTACAGGCGAAGAGGAAAGCCTGGCACAAGCGGAAGGTCTACTTGAAAGATTCCGATCGCACTTCTTACTTGGCATTGAGAAACAGATGCAATACCAAAGTTCGAAGCGACAGGAGACAATTCCAGACGAAACTAGCCGCCAGAATAGAGGCAAACCCGAAACATCTGTTTAGGTTCATGTCCAGAAGAAAGCCTACTAATCAAGGGTTGTGCCCCCTAAAAGGGCCTAACGGAGAAGACCTCACCAACCTAGAGATGGCCGAGATCTTCAACACCCATTTTGCTGATCAATTAAACCAGGCGCCTACATGTTCAGAGTATTACGCCAACCCAATGCCAGCTGACGGCTTAGGGAACATCCGTATCACTCCTGACCTAGTATTAAGGAAAATAAAATCCTTAAGCCCAGGTAAGTCACCAGGTTGTGACAACATCCGCCCTATAGTCTTGCAACAGTGCGCCGAAGCCCTCTGTTCACCATTATGAAACCAGTTCAGGCATTCACTGGAGTCCTACCAATTCCCAGCGGAATGGAAACAAGCTACTCTCTCTCCAATCTTCAAAGAAGGAGATAGAAAGGACCCAGCCTGTTACAGACCAGTCGCACTACTACCTATATTATCAAAGGTTATGGAAGGGCTAGTGGACGAACAAATGAGGGAGTACATGGATAAGAATAAAATACTCCATGAAGCTCAACACGGGTTTCGGAAAGGCAGGTTGTGTGCATCTAATCTTCTCATCGCATGGGACAGTTGGACATCCTGCTTGGACCGTAAAATACCAGTGCACGTAGTATTCCTCGACTTCGCAAAAGCCTTTGACACAGTGCCCCACGCACGCCTAATCGAAAAGGTTGTGGAAATGGGCTTCACTGACCCACTCCTATCTTGGCTCAGAAACTATCTTGAGAATAGAAAGTTTCGCACCAAGGTAAACAGGGTGCACGCGAGTTGGAGAGTATCCACTTCAGGAGTTTCGCAGGGGACCATCCTAGGCCCACTCCTCTTCCTGATATTCATTAACGACCTGCTATGCTTAGTTAGCTCACCGGCACTGATCTACGCAGACGATGCGAAGATCTGGAGGTCCATTAGAAGCGAAGAGGATTCGACTGAGCTTCAAAAGGACCTTACATCCATTGAGAAATGGGCAGTGAAAAAAACGGTTTAAAACTCAACCAACAGAAGTGCCACGTCATGCATCTCCTGCCTCATATGACGCAAACCACCTACACTCTCAATGGAAGTCCGCTCCCTAATGTCTCCTCAGAGCGCAATCTTGGTTTAATAACCACAGAAAGCCTCCACACGAGTCCGAACTATGTAGGTGATGCAGCCAAGGCAAATGCGTCTCTTCACTTTATGCGAAGACAGCTTGGTGCTATAACCCCGAAATCATTTTTAACCCTCTTTAAGACGTACGCGCGCCCACACTTGGAGGTTCACAACGTCATCGCACCCCCTCTCCTTAAAAGAGACATTAATCTCTTGGATCGAGTGCAGAGACGAGCAACCAAATGGGTGATAGGTTTGAAAAATAAACCGAAAGACGATAGACTCCAGCTCTTAGGATTATTCCCACTGAGCTACAAGAGAATCAGAGGTGACCTGATTATGGCGTACACCATATTAAACACGCCAAACCATCCCAATGTGAGCATCTTACCGATGCATCACCACCACGCCCCTCGAGGCGATCCTCAAAAGATTGCACATCAAAGAGCAAACGCTCAGATTCGTGCACACTTTTTCTCATTGCGAGTCGTCGCAACTTGGAATGCTCTCCTAGCCGAGGTAGTTACAGCCCCCTCAGTGGACTGCTTTAAGAAGAGACTTGATAATCACGTACTCACATGCGGACTATCATCTCCCTCTTGGACAAGCTGTGCCTGATGCATATCTTGAGACCTGCTAGTTGTTACCATTGCCATCTCCTCAGATCACTCAATTAGTCTATCTCGCCTATTCCTCTCCCTTGCTTACACTCCGGTCCTCTCTCACAATCTTCACTACCAATTAATAAACTAAATTCATCTAAACATTACTCAGTTCTGAAATTTTACTCATATTATCATTTCAATTTATCCTTAAAACCCTTATTACTCTCCACATTGCAACTAACTGATCTCCGGTTTGGTAATGTGATGGCTGCTGGTATCCAGAAACCCTACTGCCCTGAAACAAACGTTTCATTCAAATCCCGAGACATACAAACTCACAACCAACTGCCAACTGACTAGAATTAGACAGTCGAGTGGCTAGACCTCCATCCATTGGACATTACCGAACACCTGGAACCGTATGGAAAGAACAAGAATCGAGCGCGAAGAAATCAAATTGGTTTACACTAGCTCGTGAAAAAGATATTGGATATTGGACCTCCTGTCTGGTAATATGATAACTGCTGGCATCCAGAAACCCTACAGCCCTGAAACAAAGGTTTTCATTCAAAGAAATCAGCTGGTTCATACTAGCTCGTGACAAAGATACAGGATTTGATATTGGATTTTGTTTAGATAGGCCAAAGGTTATTTATGTTCAGATGCCCACCTTTTTGTTTCGCTACAGGAAATGATAATTTTTATTGTCCTATTTTGCATGATTGAAGTTTTCAGGGAATGTATGTTGCATTTATTCTTTATTTCAAGAAGCATCTTCTATGGAGTGCTATGTGTGCAGAAACCAGGAGGGGAACAAAGATAAGTGCATCAAAACTACAATGCAATGTTTAGAAAACGAACACTCCTGTATTACTAATATTTCATATACGAGTAAGCTTAACGTATTTTAATTTTATCGCTATCAGGTGTGGTTTTGATACTTGTTACTTGGACGGCATTTTAGATACAACGCACTATTTATACTGTCCGAGCTAAGAGCTTGTTATTTCAGGATGCGTTTGTAAGATTTCTGTAGTTAATATTGCCTAGGATTAATAGCACTGAAAGATCTCACCCCATCAAAATATTAGTTTGAGACCTAATTCCAAATGAGCGAAACTCCACAGTTTTTCAAGCACAAAAAGACGTATGTTTGGAAATGCTTGATCAAAATAACATGTCAGAAAATTATTGTAATATAGTCTTCTTGATTAGTTCGTTGCACAATAACTATAGTTATGTTTTTATAAACGTAGGTACTGACGTGGTATTTTATAGTTTGCGTTTCTATCCACTATTTGAGATACCGATTACGAATATTTCTATTCATGAAAAATCAATAATTTGCAACAATTTCATATGTGGAATAAGCATCTTGAAAATTTCCTTGCATAATAATCCTCTTAAACATATTAGCATAGCACACTTAATCCCTAATTCCTTCATATAAGACTAGCTTTCATGTATTTGGCAGTTTGCCATTTGACTTGCTGCCTTTTTCTCCGTGCGTACTTGATTAGTTAGACAGCGGTTACTATGCATCTGCTTATCGATTAATCTTTGGAAACCATAAGTAATAGGTAAAGTAATGGAAATGAATAGTAGTGTGTTCATGTATCGAGGAGACAAAGATGAATAGGACAATAACTGTCGAAAAGTTTCTCCTATAGGAGCTTAGGAAGTAGGAAAAGAGTCAGAGGAAATAAGATGTAACTTGTTTCTTTAGCTTTGTATTATTCCTTAATGTCATAATATAAAATTTGACTGAAAGTTCCTTTGATTTTCATTCTTGCTTCAATGTCTGAAATAGTATACTGAAAAGTTGACATGGACGATTTTTACTCACTATTAAGGATAAATAGCTTTTCTGAGGAAAAAATGTTTTTAAAATGGTTAGTCCTTGATTAAAGGTGTTTTAGGGCTAAGTTTTTCTTTGTGTTTGAGTACTCCAAATAGAGCTTAGAATTCTATAGTTTTACCAATGCGACTTAATTTATTCCACATATGCTCTTCAAACTGAGCACTTATGGACTTATGAATCAAAACGCCAGTTACACAAACTAGATAAACTTAGAAATGTCTGGAAGTTGCTTCAAGCTATTGAAAAACAAACGGAAGTGAGATTGTTATCTGTTACGAAGGCCAAGTCATAAAATTTTGAGAAAGCTAACAAAATGTCCAGAGCAAATATAAATGCTGAACACTTAAATCTATGAACATCACTGTCATAGTAAGTCCTGTTATCTAATTAATTTCTATCTGAATTCAGTTAAAATCAATGTAAAAAATCTCATCACTAAATATCAGTATAATCACTAGAACCATGGCATTTTAATTTTAATTCTATCTTACATATGAGCTTGGTGATGAGCTTAGTCATGATTAGTTACACTTTATATAAGTATTGATATAAGTTACTTAATATGTGGACTACTGAGGATTTTACAATTTTTAAAAAGACTTTTGTAACATTATACGTTTAAACATACCTTTCATACTTTATCCTCATATTTTCTAGTACTGTTCAAACGTTTAGCGTGTAAACTAAATTCCTCCTGATTAAAATAACTACGATTTATTTTTTAAATGTGTAGATGAATTTTACCATTTCATGTGTTACCTTGCTAGTTTTAAATATTAGCGACTGTAATGGATACATAGCTTGGCACATTGGTTTTATTCTTAAAACATTCTGTTTAATATTTCCATTGTTTGTCACTGCTCGTAACACAAATTTAAGCATTGGTTTATGGTGGTATTCTCTAATATTTCGTGAATATATATATATATATATACATGGATATCGAAGTGGAAAACATGCCTAGGATTTCCGTCAATAATTTTTTCAAAGCATTTCTAGTGTATTTGAATATGATTAGGTATGGGGTACAAGGAGAGTATGGCACTTTAATTAACAAGGTTTTTAATTTTTATCAGTTTATTTAGGATATGTTGAACGTCTGAAACTACTACCCATCTTAACAGGCAATATTTACTGATAGGGTAGGTTGAAAGAAACTAATTACGATAAACTAGAAGGCAAATTAATTAATAAATCAGTTTATTATTGACCTCAACAGTGTTGATAAAAACAGACTGACTTTTCAGGGTATATGCGATAACCTCAATAAGTGGTAAGCAAAGTTGATGTTAATCAAAGTCGGTTACAGTGACACAGATACATTCACTCCTTCTCTTCTCAATTCTAAGCACCAATGTTCCCCCAAAAATGTCCTTAAAGTCTCAATTTTTGGTGCTTCTGTATAGTTTTGACTCGCGTCGTGTTGGTTTGGTATGATAACTTGTGCCAATGCATATTTTTACCAATCTGTGTGTTGATTGTAACTTACATATGTATATACTTATGTTATTGAAAGCCAAGAGATTAAATAAAATAGTGAAAGTTTACTAATTTATACATTTGGCTAATATTTTATTGAATGCAACGCATTTCCCTTTTAGTTCCTCCCTATTGGTCACCTATGGGAGAAAGAACTCATTTCTTATGGAAAGCTTGCATTTCTACAGAGGAATGTGAGCTCCAAAAAGAAATTGCTGGTAAAACTTGTCAACGTGAATGGTATATGGATTGGAGATGTGTGGAATGCTGTCAAGGTGAATTATGCAATTATTACGCAACAGTAAGTTAAAAAGTAAATTTTGTACATTTCAGACAAGCATGTTTTCTACGAGTTACTAAATTTTTACTAACTGTGAATAAACTAAGGTACATTAAAATACCCCTTACATATTGCTGTATTGTTTAAGTAAAACCTTTGATGTACTTCATCGGACAAACTAATGAACTACCTTTACGGTATTTGAGGATAACGGTTGCAAGATGGTACTTTTGGTGGTTATGTTTAAAATATGCTTGTCATTTAGACTGACGTCACAAAGTTAGTGTGTAATTTACTGCACGACGGATGCTTTATTCTTTGTTCAAGAACTTGCATTATCAAATCCTAATGGTTCGTAAATGTCATCGGATACGTTTTCTGTTTTTGTAGTTTCGAGCATAGTTAATGATAAAAGTAGTATATTTGCAGTACCTAAATGGCACAACAAAAGAACCTCAAAGAGTCTTAAGATAATACAGAATAAAAGCATATTATAAGACACCTAAAACCCTACGGGACACTTTTGTTTGTATAAACGATAAGATTTCTTTTACTTCAACACAGAAATGCGTCTACAAATTAGAGTGTGTCATTTGTGATGCCTATATTGGATATTTATCTCGTAAGATCTTGACTCAAATAAACCATCTGTTAACCCTGTAGAGCTCAAATGACTCCAAATTAGATTAGCAATATATATGCCATCTTCAACAACTATCAAACAGCCATATCAAAAGAATGCAAAAAAGGCTTTTCCAACTACAAGGGTAAGTTAGTAGCTGAAACTTTCCATATAACTCTAAATAATAATGTCCTCAATAGAAAGAAAGTCCTTACTTTTCATTCAACTTGGACCATCTATCCGAACTATCCATGTCTGATTCTATTTATAACTCACATTACTGTCTTCATAAAAATTCAATTCTATCCTTTTGCATTACAAATATGACACAAATATACAACCACATCTCATATGAATCACGTTGACCGGAGTGACATAACACTCACTCGGTCAGACCTGTTTTTTTTGATTGATTAATTGGTTGTGCTAAATATTTTTGCTTTATTCCGTGGTACTATTTAGATTTGGGTTATTTTCGTTCGTTTATTTGCCACCTGAAGAATCGGTTTACAACGAACTACGAAATGTCAGAAAAATCTTAACTTTTCTACCCAATATTTAATTTATTTGAAAATATCAAGTCAGTCCTTGGTAAAGACATATATTTGAGCATAAATGTTTCTTCACCGAAATTTAGTTACACATTATAAGGGTTTGTGATGCTCATGTTATAGATAATTGAACTTTATAGAGTAAGTCAAGTGATGGAAGTTAATAATTAGGTTATCAAACATCTTGGATTACGGCTGAAAGCTTATTTTCTAAAATCCTTAGTTTGGAACTGAAGACAAATATGAAATATATTGGCTTATAATGGAAGTACTACTGACGATTAGGATTGGCTTCCAGTCATCGTTTATTTTCTGTTGACACTTTTTTATGATAACTGAAAGGTAATCAAGATTACTTTCCAGTTGGTTGAAGAAATATATACATATATATATATTTAATTACTTACTCTTGTTACCCTCAATGAAAAATAGGCCACCGACTAGCTATTTTCAACCTACTCTGTCCTGGGTCATCCTTTCCAGTTCTGTCCAATCGTTGTTCATTCTTCTCATGTGTCTCTCCATTTCTCGGCGTAATGTGTTTATCGGCTCTCCTCTTTTCCTTCGGCCATGAGGATTCCAAGTGAGAGCTTGTCTTGTGACGCAGTTATGTGCTTTCTGCAATCTGTGTCCTATCCACTTCCAGCGCTTCTTCCTGATTTCTTCCCCCGTTGGAATCTGGTTTATCCTCTCCCACAGTAGGTTGTTGCTGATCGTGTCTGGTCAATGGATCCAAAGTATTTTGCGTAGACAGCTGTTGATCAACACTTGTATCTTCTGTATGGTGGTTTTGGTAGTTCTCCAAGTTTCCTCCTCATACAGTAGAACTGTCTTGACATTTGTATTCGAAATTCTGATTTTGGTGTTTATGGATAGTGGTTATGAGTTCCAGATGTTGTTCATTTGCAGAAATGCTGTCCTTGCTTTGCCGATCCATCTGGCTCATCCATGATGCTGCCCAGATATGTAAAGACATTTACGTCCTCCAATGCATCTCCATAAAGTGTGTTTTCGTTGGCGCATGCAGTGATGTTTCGGAGAATCTTGATTCTCCCTATATGTATGTTGAGACCTGCTGCTACTATGGCTGCTACTGCACTGGTCGTCTTCCCTTGTATTGATTGTTGTGTGTGCGATAGAAGAGCCAGATCTTCTGCGAAGTCTGGATTGTGCAGCTATATCCTTGCTGTTCACTGTATTCCGTGCTTCTCGTCAGCTGTTGACGTCTACTTAATCCAGTTGACCCAAAAGAAAAAAGAGAAAGAGTGAGAGTAAACAGCCTTGTCTGATATCGGCCTTCACTTCGAACGAGTCTGTCAGCTGTCCTTCGTGCACAATTTTCAGTTTAATCCATCGTAAGAATTCTGTATGATGTTGACTATCTTCTCAGCTACACCATAGTTTCGAAGAAGCCTCCATAGTGTTGTCCGGTCCACGCTATCAAATGCTTTCTCGTAGTAGACGAAGTAGATGTAGAGTGGTGAGTTACATTCAGCTGATTGTTCCACAATGATATGTAATGTTGTAGTACACGATCACTGCTTACGAAATCCAGCCTGTCGATCTCAGAGTTGGGCATCTACGAAGTCCTTCATTGTGTTTAAAAATACCCTGTGGAGTATATTTGCAGCCTTTGCTACGTCTGCTTTCATTGCCTCTGCTGGAATGTTGTCTGGTCCCACTGCTTCACCGCTTTTGATTTGTCTGATGGTCGTATTGATCTCTTCAGTTGTTGTTAGGCCAACATTGATTGGGCATTTCTAGGATGCTGCTTGGATCGCAGGCGGGTAAAAAGGGAGTGATCAGTTCAAGAGTTCCTCAAAGTTCTCTACCAACTTGTTTCGCCATTCTTCAGAGTTACTGATTACTTTACCAACATTGTTTTTCATCAATCATTTAGATTTACGATAGCTTCCAGCGAGCTTTTTTTTGTATCGTACGATTGTCTCAAGTTTTCTTTTCTTGCAGCCTTTCTCGTCGTCACTGCTATTTCTTCTACATATTTACGTTTGTCGTCTCTGATGCTTCTCTCCACTTGCTTTTTGGCTTCCGTGTACTCAGTATGGGCCTTGGCTTTTCCTGCTCTTGTTCGACTGATGTTGATTGCTACCTTCTGGTACCTCATTTCTTGAATTTTTTCAAGAGTACCAACAGATATGCACTCCTTGTGATGGTACTCCATGTGGCTCAGAACCTCCAGACAGCTGACTAGTAAGAAATAAGATGAAACGCACATTTTGCTCTTGATCGCTAGTCATAATCCATCTATTTCTTAAAATATGCTATGAAACATTTGTTCTGATATAGGCATCATTTTAGTTCATCAAATTTATGGTAAAAATTCAGTTAAGCACTGTTTATTTGCTTGACAGTGTGTGCTTGGATAGTTCTATTCAATTTCTTTTTCATTTTTTTCCGTTTGTTAATTTAGTTATCAGGATATCGAGTTTATCTGGATAAACATTTAATTATTTCAATTATGATGCCTTTTTTGATGTATCGAATGTTTTAATTATTTTAATGAATATTGAAAGAAATACTTTGTATATTTACTTTAAAGAGAATTTTTTTGTATCTTCCTTTTCATAATAAATTTGAGTTGTATGGTATATATTTATATAATCATTCATTTTGTATATAGAAATATATATAAATCGTACAAATAAACTGTAAAATGAAGTGCACATTTTTCATTCAAGCATTTGGGTTGATATTTAAAAATATGTTGATAATTACTGACCAGCATATAGTTTACATCATTTATATAATGGCCTTAGTTAACATGGCTGAAAATCAGCTCAAAATACATGTGTTTTGTAACTTCTGGATCTTAAATCTAAGTATTATTTACAGGGATTTATTCTTGTTCAAATTGTGTATTTAACACGATTTCTACTGCCACTGAAATCGCTGTTTTCCAATTTGTTTATTATCTATACTGTTAGTGTGGTGCGATAACTGTGACCAGTATACATCCTGACTTGATTTTGTCTGAATTATTGGTATTTTTTTTATTGTAACATTACTGTAGTAACCGTTCTCAGCATTTTCTTTAATCCGCTTTCAAAAACTTGTTTATTCTTGTGAAATCTTATTATTGAGATAATTAGGTAGCAAGATGGATCATTCGCTTAAGTTTCATTCATTCGGTCAGCCACAAAGTAGAACTTCGTATGTTCGTACATCAGTTCAAGTTATCATACCACATTAGTGAAGATATGCAATTTTCAATTCAAATCCCATAGTGGTAGATGAAGTAGAAGTATTAGCGGTAATGGAGAAGTTTAGGGATCGAAAAGATTATTCAAGGAGCATAATTCAATGAAATAAATCTATAAAGAAAAAGGTGATGAGGAATTCAGGAGATTAGGATTCGAAAGAACACAGAGAATAGATGTACCTGCGCCATTACAAACGATTTTGAGCGATGTCTTTTCAATAGATATACACTCCTTTCTATGGTCCTTCATGTGGCCCAGAAACTCTCGTTCAGGTGACTGCCTCCTTGATCTCTTTATAATTGTTCCCTGTGATAGTTTCTTCTTCATTGAGGAGATTGTGCAAGGTGTGGAAGCCAATTCTGAGTGCTGTCTTGAAAGCGTTGAGCTTTTCAATATTCCGTAGAAAGGCCGTATCGAACCTTTGTGGTGTTGTCCAGTGTTCCTTGAGTTTTAGTTTCGTTTCGGCGACCAGTAGTTCGTGATCAGCTACTCCCATGTTTCTCACATCCTTAATGGTCCTTCTGAATTTCGTATTAAATCAGATATGGTCGATTTGATTCTAAGTAGTGTGATCCGGTGAAATCCAGGTAGCTTTGTGCATACGTTTATGTGGGAATTTTGCGTCGAAGATGACCAGTTCGTTGAAGGCACATAGGTTTGCGAATCTCCTAGCATTTTCGCTCCTTTCTCCCTGGCTGTGTCATCCCAAGATGTCTTCATATCCAGTGTTGTCCATGCCAACCTTGGTATTTAGGTCTCCCATTAAAATCGTTATATGCTTTGGACGATTGACTGCAGCCTTTCGTAGAATTGATCTTTGTCGTCGTCATTGTTGTCATTGGTTTGTGCATAGCACTGGATGACGTTCACTGTGATGTCCTCTTTTTTTGTTTTCTAGGATGCTTTAATGGTTCTGGGTTAATGAGATTCCCATCCTATCAGTGCCTTTTGTGCATGTTTGGACAGCATCAGTGCAACTTCTTGTGTACGTGAAGCATTTTCCTCTTCATGACTAGAGTATAACAGCAGTTCCCCTGAAGCTAGCCTCAGTTGTCTAACCTGTGTCCAATCAGTTTCACTTATTTAAAGCACCTCTACGTTGTTTCATTTCATCTCTGTGGCAATTCAGAAGAGTCTTCAGTCCTCCCTCACTGTTCGAACATTCCATGTACCTAAAAAAATGGTTGTTCTGGTTGTGAAAAGGGACATCGGCCTCGTGATTTCCGAAGTAACTTGGCTTTCATCATGAGACGTTGTAACTCTTCTAATTGAAGACCTGCTCATTCGCAGGACAGAGTGTGACTCATTTGGTCTAACTAGAGTTTTATCTATAGGTTGGTTTTCTACAGTATGCGATCTCTATCTCGGAATCCAACCCTCCTCTTTATGACCGTAACTGGAGCTAAAAAGAGTTCAGTAGGAGTATAGTCTGACCTTCAGCATTAGATTCACCAAACACTAATACTATACTAATACTATATTAGAGGACTTTTGAAATTCTTTCCATAAAACTCATCTTTAACCTTATACAATCTGCTAGAAGTGTTGGCAGGGACAGTAAATGTCCTTGTTTATTCGAGTCCTAACTCTCCTGTTTTGTCGGGTGTCGCATATACTGGGATCAAGTCTAAGGAGGCTTATTCTGCCCTACAACGCAATGCCGTACAGATATTAGCGAGGACACGAGAAGCAGTAGTTATGCTTCCTGATACACGAAGCGTAAGTCCATTCGATTTTTATCTTGACAGAATGAGGTCAAATCAATGATTACACTCGGGCCCTCTATGGGCGTTTCGGAAACGCGGCATTGTATGAGGCTCTAAAATCCTTGCTAAGGTAGCTTGTTGTCTAATTTGATACAATTTCCAATAGCTAGCTCATAACGGATTCTAGGAGACCTGGAATAACGTTTTGTGAACTCGAAACGTATGTATTTGTGGTGCCAGGTGATACAGGATTGTGAGAAGTGCTGGTCGCCCAGAGACGTTTATTATTGCAGGACGTATTTGATGGTGACCGATTCGGTTTAAATGAATGCGAATTTATAATTATACGAGTTGACTTAGCAAGATGTCTTTTAAAACAGCTTTACATAAGACCCTTATGAAGCGAAATATTTCTTTGTAGACAAAAATTGGAAAATATAGCCAATGTCAATCGACCGTCTCCAATATTTTGCTCGTCGTCTGAGCTACTGAGTATAAACGAATAATACACAGGCGCTGGACGGACTCAGACCTTACACAGAACTAACCTAGACTGACGCTTATGAAAATCACATTATATAACTCATACGTTAGCGTACCTCATTGACTTAATGTCTTCAATGGAGTATCAATGGAGTATCATAAGTATAGATCTAAGACAGGTTCGCATTTACATGCAGGCTGACCATCTACTTCTAACTGGAGTCTGAGGTTGGTGTATCCTTGTTAATATTAAGCTCAAGTTTGTACTTTTCACACTACACTGTTACCTCGCCTTATTCCTGTGGAATAAAATTGGCGATTTTCCAAAATTGGTCTCCGTAATGTGAATCGATTTACTAACATGGTTGGTGTATAGGGAGTTAGTATAACTACAAATGATGTTGATAGATATTGCTTATGCGCAGGTGCCTAGGACAGTCCCTTGTATAAACTCACTGGTTACCCTCTTAGGTGCTGATGTCTTGGAAACTTTGTACCTCTCATTTCAGAATGATTTACATCAGCTGGGTACGGAGATGCGGATACTCACATAATATAACTTGTCATATGATATACCGTGAGCTAATTTGTTGGATGCCTTAAATTTATCAATTTAAAAGCGCACTGCTATTTTGCATGTTTCTCAAAGCTGTTTTACGCAATCCAAAAAACTCGAAGTGGCAGGTCATGCAAGACCCAGTTGCTACGGAACAGTGTTGTCGGAAATCTGAGAATGGCGGAACTCACAACTGATTAAAATTGTAAGAGTTCTAGACAAACACGTAATGAGTGTCACGCTTGAAGAGACTATAATCTATGGATAAACCAATAATATTTGATGCTGGTGACATTTTTAAATTCAGGGTACGGACTTCCAGATCCTCACATCATCTTCATTGATTAGAGACAATGTGTTAAATTCATCCGTCAAGTAAATATAATCAAATTCAATACGAGTTATGGACCTAAGATAGTCCAGGGTAAAACTCTAGACGTTGAAACTGGCCCTGCAACGTACTGGAAATATAATAATAATAATTTAATAATAATAATAATTTATTCTCAAATAACTACGTTACAAGAGTCACGCCAGTTTACAGGCTAGATCAAATTGTCACAAATGCTTTCACAATCACTGTAAAGTTATAGCAGTTAAATTAAGTATAAGAGTCATTTTCTGATTGCATATTTACAACATGTCACTGACAGAAACAGTATTATACAGCCTCATTTTCAATAGTAGAGTACAAATAAGGAAGGAAGGTGCACAATAGGTTCGCGAAATAACCAAGTTCAATCCCGCTACGGCCAAAAATCAGAAGACCAGCAGTGACTGTAGGTAGATGATTTCATAATATCGAAAAAATATCAAGATCACAATGAAAGCCGTGGGCGAAACTACCGAGCAACGTCAGCGACACTTTCTTAACTCTCTTTATAGCATATGTGCTTCTATACCTTGAATTTCACAACATCGAAGCACCCCTCTCTCGGATCGAGTACAGGGACGGGCAACTAGATAGGTGGCCTGGTAATGAATAACCACCACGAAGACAGACGCCTACTCTTGATACCATTCTCAGTGAGTAGTAGAATATCAAAGATGATCTGGTAATGACATACAACTTATCAAGTACGCGAATAATTCTAACACAAGCATCTTGCCAAAGTATCTCCATCATGCTCCTTGAAGTAACTCTCGAAAAATTCAACATCAGAGTGCAAACATCCAGGTGTGCGCCCACTTTTTCTCACTGTGAGTTGTCCCAACTTAGAATATGTTGCTAACCGAAGGGACCACAACCTCCTCAGTGGATAGCTTCGAAATGAGACTTTACAAACACGTATTCACACACGGGAAATTATCTCCTACTTAGACCAGCCATGTCTGATGGATTTATTCAGGACTGTTAATTGTTATCATCATTATTTCATCGTTTCACTAATTTATCCTTCTTCGATTATTAACTCTGTTTCTTCTCACACATTCGTTACTACCAGTTAATTAAATTATTTAATTATTAACATCGTTCTGAAAATTTCCTCCTTTCATCAGCATCGAAATTTTCTACGTATTAGTCTCCACACTGCAGCTAACTGATCTCCGGACTCTGACAGCTAGCGTCCTGAAACAAGAGCACTCATGCAAATCACGAGCATACAAATTCTTAATTGACTGACAACTGACCGGAATTGGTGCAGTCTGCTGGCTACAATGTCACCAATTGAACATCACAAGGTGCCTGAAGCCGTAGTGGAAGAAAGAGGGGGGTGATCCGAAAGAAAACAATCCATCGATACCGACAGGTTGATAGGATATTGAATATTGAATTTGGATGCTTTTTTAACTGTGCTATAGGACGCTTGTTGTCGTAGAGTTTTGTATTGGACTTTCAAAATGATTTATTCAGCTTGTTAATAATTACAATTTTTCTGATAGTTTCAACTACTTTTCTACCTCTTTCGGCAGCGCAATCGGTAAAAAAGCTTCCACGTTTCATCATATACCTGAAAGATTGACTTCTAAACTAATACTAGCTAATCTGTACTTCTAAATTTTTTCATCGAAAATGGCAGAACTAAGTTATTCTATGATGAGGTCAGCAAATCAGGCAAGGGAATCTGTAAGATATATATTTACTTATGACAAAAATAAAGGAGGAACAGCGAACCACAGCTAGAAAGAAGAATCTGTTGTTATTAGTTATGCATTATTTAAGTGAAGAAGGGTAAATTTATCGTTTAATTTTATTCTCAAAGGTATGTAGAATCAGCAATGTCTCTCTCCAAGGAAACGAATTTAGATTTTCGAAAGTATGAAGTGTGTGACAATGTGGATTTAGAAACAGTTTTGCTAGAATATGAAAGTTTTTATTATATAAAATTCCATAAATATCCTAGGATTACCAAAAAGTTATCAGGTTTCTGTAACTACCTGTTTAACCAGTTTTTTTCAGAAAAGCTTCCGCACTGTGATAGAAAGCATCACGCAAGTGGTTCACTGAAAACTAAGTAGGTTTTCATTTTTCTTTGCATTAGTATGTGTAGACGATCTTCACTGCCTCGAATCGTCAACCGCGAAAATTCTATGCATGACTTTGAACAGAATTATCAATCAAATGAAGAGAATATTGGTGGGAGTAAGGTAAGGAGATCAAAAAGTTTGGGATACCCAGGCTTTTGGGGTTTTCATTGATTCAGTCTCTTACGTAAAAATCATAATTTTGGGAAGGACAGGAGGCTGGGTGGCCTGTCTAAATCCTTGCGATTTTGATCACTTAGTTGATCTAGCTTTATCTTAAATGCATCTACCGATTAAACTCCAATCATGTGCAACACGTTCCATTGACGGTTCGATGAGAAAGTCAGTAGTCAACTGACAAGTAATTTGTTCTGGGCTGGTAAACGTTTCTAGAGAGTTCTCGTAAATTCTCCGTTATGAAACGCGAAAAAAAATGAGGGCATGTCAGATGAATATTTATCAATAGGTAATTTAAGAATTGCGTTTCTGAAAGTATACTTAGTTGAAGCTTTTCCGACAGCTCACCGTTTGTTTTAGGCAGGCTACGGCTGCTTATATGCATTGCTGAAGTTTAGGATGAAAAAACACTGCGTACAATTTCGAAAATGTCTTAGCATTGACAGGGCTAAAGGCCGTGCTTAAAGACTATAGGGTTCCAAAACCTTTGGTGGCTATCTCACTGCAATGTTCAGTAGTATACAAGTCTTGGTTAATAATAACTCTTAGGTCATTGCGTGTCTGGATAACAGAAAGCTCAATGTTATTCAGCAACTGCTAAGTTCTAGACTATTCGGATTATTTCTGCAGGTCCTTTTGAGGCTGAATACTACCACCACTAATGTTTGTCGCTCTTCATATCCTTGTGTCTCCAGGATATGACATAACCTATAAATATAGGGGAGTTTCAAGGTCACCTGCTAACAGGAGGAACAACACGCCCTAAAACTGTGCTCTGAGACATTTTGTCAAGCAGTTTCTTAGCCATACAACATGATGTTAACCTGTACTGTTTGTTGTCGTCCAACTAGGAAATCTTTAAACCATACAAATTGCCCACAGTGTTGATATCGCTTAACTTAGATGAAAGCGGGTTAGAAGGGACTAAGTAAAAGCCTTTCTAAATTGAATGAATGCTACACTTATAGGTAGTTTTTGACCTATGAGAGCTCACCAACTTCCACAGGATATCAATAGGTTTGTGAGACATGAACAGTCTGTTCCAAAACCTTGCTACTCCTCAGAGAGAATCCAGTTTTTGCGTAAGTACTTAAACAGCTCCATACGAGTAATCGTTTTCAAACTTTTAACAAGTAGTCAGTTTAGGCTTACGATTCGATAGTTCTCTAGTTTGAACCTCGCACCTGTTTTAAAGATGGGTTTACTTTAACGTTCTTCCAGTCTTTTGGTGATCTACCTTGGTCTAAAGATAGATTAAAACAAATGCTTAAGGGATTTGCGACGATATATTCCAATTTCTTGGTCATTCTAGGATGCATTCAATCAGGTTCCATAGATTTACTTGAATTAGTCTTATTCAACAAACTGAATACTTTGGTTCCTTATTGGCCACACTCTTCAGAGTGTGTATGAAGGGGTTTGTATGAACTGGAGCGAAAGAAACCTGGTATATACATCGGTAACGTAGTTTGAGAATACCTGAGCTTTACCATAATCTTTGTTCACCAATGACGCATCACTTCTGTCTACCCATAACGCTGTCATGCTCCCACTTCTTTTAGCCTGTTGTTTTATGCATGAATATAGGTGTTTTGTGTATTCCATAGACTCCTTTACTGGCTTCTCTTCATACAGTCTTCTAGATTTCTGACTACCTTTAAAGCCGTTTCAATAAGCGGGATTCCGGTTTTATTGTTCAATGTACTGAAGCTGTAAAGTTTATAACTTCTTACATGTTCGTGCTCCAAATATTCGATCTTGCCTGAACTGACAAGTCGTTGTTGATAACGATATGTAAAACAGAGACTAGAAGTGTATGGTTACTCTCATATATATATATATATATATATATATATATATATATACTCATATAATCAAGCTTTGAGACGTCATCGTTATAATGGGTTAATACGAAATGTAATAAGGATAATACAGAGTCCGGATCGTGTCTAGTTACTTATTTTACATGTTGCACAAGGGTAATTGTAATAATCGGGTTAATTATTTTGCAAAAGAATATTTTGACAATTCAGTCATCAGACTTTCCCAGTCCACTAAAGGTGCATTAATGTCCCTCAAAACTAAACATCGACCATTTAATGACCAAATGTTGAGCTTGTCTAATAAAACCTCATTAATGTCACGGTTCGGGCTGAGATAAACAAAGCCAATCTGCAGCTCTCTTCCTTTGCACTTCAAGCGGGAACTGATTCGCAGATTCTACTCTCATGGGATATGTTGTCGATAGCGATAAAGAGGATAGTATTTCTAATGGATCAGGTTACTCCTCTTCATTTACGCTTATGGATCACGTCTACTCTAGCCAATGTGAAGTTTTCAGAATCAAGAACTTCATTGTGTACAGATGAAGCCAGCCATAGTTCTATGATGGAAATTACGTCCGGCTTAGTTGAGTCTACCTGTACACGTAGCTCCGATCTACTGTTAAGTAAGCTCCGGGTACTTGTTTAGCATACTGAAATACAATTCAAACTTCATGCTGCACCCAAAGTAGCTTTGGCATCAATTTCTGTGGAAGCTTCACTATCTTAGAATTTATAATTCTGAGGTCCTTTTTGACGGCGTCTAACCTTAGTTTTAGTTACTTTTCGGCCTCTCGTTTATCTAATACGGTTCACTAATCATAAGTCTTTACGAACAAAAACTCCTGAACCCTTCAGTCTACGTCGACTTTGTAGCATTAAGTCTTTTTCACTGGGAATTTTAAATATTACATTTAGGAACCTAGTTTGGTTTTCTTGTGAGTCCGGTAAGTCTTTTGGTCTATAAACTGTCAGTAAGTTGACTCTAGGGTGGTCTCGAGTCATTAGCGTATTTAGCGGACCTTTTATTTACCTAATATTATCCTCGAAGCGAATTTCACTCTGTGAAAGATGAGTAACCTGTCACTGTGATCAGTCTTCAGTTTCGAAACTACCGTTTTGGTAACTGGAACTTCTTTAACTATGTTTGGTCTTTTTTTCACTATTTAAACTTATTCGTCAGCTTTCACTAAATTGACAATCCTAGCAGCGTTGCACACAGTGATTCACGACGACTTGGGTGGTCATATTGCTTTTTCTACTGGAGACCTACTTAACCTTACGATCAGATTCCTTAACTGTTTTTTGGCTGCCGCCATTTAGAGGACGGATCACTGAAGATACCTGCTTTCTTGAGTTTTCGTTCCTCAAAGACCTGTTTCAGTCAGCCTTTTCTACTTCGTCTTATTAGAATCATTCAACGCTAACCTTAATTGGGATGTCTGTACATGAATCCATGTGTTAACGGAGCAGGCATTATTTCAACTATCTCGATGTTGCTCGCTAACATGCCTTCTGGCGACGTTCATGATTGCAATAACATCGGATAGTAAGCTCTTTGCTTACGAACGGCATTCATGGCACAACCAAACATTCCTTTTCGCTGTACCGTTTCAAAGCTGCATGTGTCAGATTTGTGCAAACTACGTGGTACCACCATTTGCAGTCATCACGCTGTATACCACTCCAACATGGTATCAACACCCGAAATGCATTTACACGTGAAGACAAAACTGACTCTTATGTTCAAATATACAGAAAATATGAAACTGATAGATCCTATAAAACATAGATTTAAAATTACACCTAGGAAAAAACAGTACTTTTAGTGTTACTACATTTACTAAAATTTAATCCAATTAGAGTGAAAAAAATAGTAGTAGTTTTCATGTGTGATAGCTAATAAAACTATAAATAAGCTCAGTAAGGAGATATACCAATCTCCGTTTTAAATAGCGTGTGATAAAAAAAACCTTCATTTGCTGATGTTTTTGAAAGAAAATTTATTACTTATATACTAATATACCAATCTGTGAGTGAAGTTTCGATGACTGAAGATTAGAGGAAAAGCCTCCTGCAGGCCGTTATTTCCACTTGCAACAAGAGGCATGCGCTCTACAAACTAGCAAATGCGCTGGGTCGGGATCGGGTAAGCCTTGAGCAGGCTAGAGAACGCTTATGTAACGCTATATGTAACGAAATCCTCCCTGTATATGAACAAGAGAGTTAGACGCAGGGTCGAACCAAGGCGACCTGTTGAATCAAATAATAGTGCGATCAGGAAAGCAAAGGCGAAAGTTTTGAGGGGATTGATGCACACCAATCCCAGAAAGGCGGCACATGCGGTGCTGCCTGGTTCATGGAAAACTCTCTATAAAGGAGACTGAGCCTACCTGTCAAGCTTCGGGGAATTTCGGTGTGATCTAATTTCGAGCACCAGTACTGCCGATGACCGTCCGGCAGCGAAACTGTCGGACAATCATTGGGAGTTAGTGTGTCCAATAGAGACCTCAGAAGTGTTTATTTCGTTGAAGCGTATGGGCAATACTGCCCCAAGGCTTATGTGTATATATATATATGGTATAAATTATAATACTTGTATTCATTTCAAATATTCATTTTATCATATATTTTGGAAATAAGATATTACATTTTTTGCACAAACATTTATCTCTATAGCATAGAGCTTGTAATGGGCTAACTGTACAGGGGAGGCAAGATCCTCCTATACAAATGTCAGGACGCACAGTGAAAAGTAGCATTCCACCAAATCTACCAAATGGTTCACTGGTCGCATCTTCAAACCATCTGGACTCAAACCAAAACTCCTGTTCATCTTCTTCAACAAGACAAGGTTTTCCACGTCAAATTACTGATTACAGAGCAATCATTAATCAAGAAACACGTTTACCCTTAGAAGAAAATCATCCTTCAGAAGAAGTATGTCTTTAGATTCTTAGTGTTCTATGAAATTCCAACCTTCTGCTGAATTCCTCATCACCTCTATCTTTCTCTTTCTAAATTTACCTCACTGAATTATACTTCCTGAATAACATCTTCGAACCCTAATCTCTCCGATTACTGCGAATACTTTTACTACCTCTACTACTATGGGATTTGAATTGACAGTAACATATTTGTGCTTATGTGCTAATGTGGTATGGGAACTTGAACTGATCTAGTTACGTACGAAGTTCTACGTTGTAACTGGCTGAGACTCTTTGTATAGAAAATATATGATACCGATGTTTACGGACTTGTTACATTTTGTCAGCTGACAGATGTTATTCCAGCTCTCTGTTTTTAAGGTTAAATTACTTTAACCTGATGTACCAATTTGGCTGCAAACATTTATGGAACACATTTCTAAGCCCATAATAATGTATAAATTATTCGAATTTTCAAAATATAATTTGTTTTCCTCAGCTAAAAACATTACCATTAAAATACAGCTGCTTTCGGGAGTTTCAAATTGAAAATTACTATCCACCAAGTATTTTAATAAGCATCAACACTCAGTAAAATAGGAAAACCATATCGTAAATCGTTAATTTGCAGAATATCAGTCCATCATATCGAACTGGAATGTTCCTGTTGCAAAACATCAATCCATTGTCACTATTCATGCGTTTCATACAAATTCCATTGTGTTCTAACTCTTCCTTTCTTGATCTTCCCCCATCTTCTGCTGCCAGACATTACGTTGACAATCACGTCATATACTACTTATAAGTAGCTCGCACCACAGTATAACATGGCATGTTGATCGAATAATGATTGGCTGTTCTCGATCATTCAAACAGTGATTGAATATACTTTATTCTGTTTAGTCTTTTTACATTTGTAATTATTCTTACAAATAAAACATCTATCATCTTCATGAGTAAATATTTTTTAAATTTCAGCAAAAAAATTTCTCATTTACATTCCATGACTCACTATTTGTTGATGTGATCACTTAATTATTAATCACTGAAAAATAGTTATTTACGTTTAAAAACACTGATAACAACAAGAATTGACACTAATCTTTGCATTACAAAGTTTATTTAAGTCAGTTTTACACTTCAAGATCAAATGCTGATTGAATAACTCAATTATTAAAAGGACAGTCTTCCAATAAACTTAATAACTGCCGATAAAAAATTGAGGAGTAAACTGTTGTTTGTATTTTTAATAAATCTTCACAAAGTGACAATGTTTAACTTACATAAAAGTGAACTATGTGATCATTTTACCAAAATCAGTTAAAGTTAGATGTGTACCGGTTGGAATTAAGCACAACATAATAATAATAATATGATTACTTAGTTTGGAAAACTAAACAGTCGAAAAATGTTATTTCATTCATCTTTCAATGCCCACTGCAAATAAATACAATATTTTGTGTCTCGTACCCAATTATGATGTTAAATATTTTGATAAATCTTTAAATCGCATAAAAGCATTCATGACGTGATGATCGTTCATAAGAAAAAAGTCCTTGCAAATACTGGCCAATCAGTGATTATCGCAACTCGTTAGTTTAGTAAAGAAAGCTTTAACGTTTTGAATTGATGCATAGTAGTTTCTAGTTTAAAGCATAGACGTCAAACATTCAAATGTAGGTTAATCAGTCGATAAGTCCCAAAGAGAACAAGATGCAAGTCCTAAAATCATATTAAAAGCATGAAATACAGTAAAATCGGAATCATTTTTGAAAGACATATAATTATTCTTTTTTCCACAGTTGAATTTACCAGCTGATCGTAGCTAGACCAGCATTGGAAACTTGGAAGCGCTGACCGGCTGTTTTGTCCCAGTATGCGACTTCTCAGCAGTGCGCATCCGCGACACTGCACGCTCAACCTCTTAACCATTGTGTATACTGTACTTTAATCAGCCCATAACTTTGCACAGTCTTCATCCATTGCCTGAGGTGGATAACAGTCTCTCAACCAACATAAATTGAACTCCATCTGTCAAGGCTTTTCCATATATATTAATCCAGGAATGCATCTTGACGTTGATCACTAGTGAGCTTATGATTGCTCTAGTTAGAAAGCTTATTCTTCCAAGTTTTTAATGGTGGTCTGGTTAGGGTGCTCAGTTCGTGATTTCAGCCTTGAAAGTCATACAATCTCCACAAGTCTGCTCTACAACTAATTATTTCAACTTTCTGTTTAAATCAAAAAAAAAATTATAAACTTAATAAATTCTGCTTTATTTAAACTATTTTTTTTTACAGGAACGTTTATTAAAGCCATTAGGTGGTTATTTAGGCTATACAGGTGAATGGCGAAGTTTAGCTTTAACAATTTCACGTGTAAGTTTTGATTTGTTTCGTAAAGTTTTTGACTAATTACATGTTGTACAAACACTATCGTATGTTGAAGCATCAGAAATTGACGAATTTCTAGAAGGGAATATTTTACTCCTAATTCTTCTGAATTTCATTGATTCAAAATGCATTGCAGTATTTTGTGAAGGTGCGGTTCTGACAAGCCTTTATGATTTTTATGTTGTGTATATACTGATTATATATATATATGATCAGTCAAATTTTTCAGTAAACATTATCCAGTTAGTAAGTAAGTACATTTTATCAAAGCTGTTTCCATATGGCTATTAGTTATTTGCTTGGACTAATTAGCATGACAACATTATTGGGTAATAATAGTGAGCTAAGGAGAAGTGGCCAAATGGGAAGGCCATTTGATGACTATCAGAAAGTGTCATCAAAGATGAGTACTATCATTGCTCAAGAAATGACTTTATTTTCTAGGGAAGTAAATATTATTCGGCAGCCACATAGACTTTCTCTTATGCTCCTGCTTGCTTACTCAAGTAGCCACGTTTTGGGAGTTAGCGCCAAGGCACGCTCAGATATAGGACATTGTACATCATAAAAGTTATGTTCGAGATAAAATAAAGTGAATTAACTAACAATGTCTGTTTATACAAATTTACAATTGTGTGTATATTTCCAAAACATGGCACCATTTTTTTGTTCAAACGAAGATAAAGTATTTTAAACATTGGAGATAGTGGCTATAGTTAAGGAGTGATAGCCACTGCAGAGCACTTTATTCGATGAACGGTTAGAAAGCCGAAAATAAATGACTACATAACATAAATTCTGTGGTTTGGAAATAACTGCATCCATAAGTTACCCTTCTTCAAATTCTCAACATTCTGTTGCTGCAGTACAGTCAGTCAGTTACAACGTAGAACGTCGTACATGAGTAAATAAGTTCACGTTTCCATACCCCATCAACACAGAGACGCAACTGTCAGTTCAGATCCCATAGTAGTAGAGATAGTAGAAGAAGTAGCAGTGATTGGAGAAGATTAGGGTTCGAAGATATGATTCGAGAAGTATAATTTAGTAGGATAAATTTAGAAAGAGAAAGATAGAGATGAGGAGGTATTCAGGAGGTCAAAATTTGTGAGAGCACAATGAATAAATGCACCTGCGCTATGGCAAACGATTTTGAGCCATGTCGTTCAAGGTCTTTAATCATCGGTTACTATCGTCTTGTGGACCCCAATCAAGTAGCCTACATCTACCAACATGACTCAGTCCACTTATCAGTGACTTCATGGATTTCTGCCATGTTTTGGTTTGGCCGCCCCTAACTTTCTCCCAACCTACTCTTACGCCACAAAACATAGCTCGTCGAGGCATTTCGGTGGTCGGGCATTCGAAACACACGTCTCAATCACCTCAACTGATGAAGTTTTAATACTTTATCAGTTGATCTACGATCCTTATCTAGCTATAGTATTACTTACTTGGTTGTCCCAGAATACATGAGCAATTCTTCAAAGACATCTATAATCGAATACTAATAACCTATGAATGTCCTCTACTCTTACCGGCCATGTTTCGCATCCATATAGCAGGACCGGGCAAATTGCTGCATAGTACACTCGTCCTTCGGTTGGCAAACGGATATCTCGCCTGCACCATAGCTGACGCAACTTGTCAAAAGCCAGTCGAGCCTTCTGTATCCGTGCTGAGATTTCGTCAGTTACCAGGCCTTCAGCACGGATGAGACTCCCTGCTGCAGTACACTAATTTTTTTAAAATTATTTTGTTATAATTCTGTTTGTGCTGTTGTTCACTGAAAATAACTTATCTATTTAAAACATTGTTATACTAAGAATTTCAAGGCTATTATTATCATTATATATTTAAAATAATAATATTTTAGGATATATTCCTTCAAAATCCAAATGTTCGATGGGATGATATAATCGGTTTAAGTTCTGCTAAACGTCTTGTAAAAGAAGCAGTGGTTTATCCAATAAAAGTAAGTTTATTTACCAAATTTGTTTGTACAACGTTGGCTTATTAATTAAAGAATATTGTCTTCCACTAGAAAGTGAATAGTTCAAAATCAGTTTCATCTAATTTAGTTTGAGAAGTTACATAACACTGTCACTAACACTTACACAAACAATGTTGATAAATACGTTAAACAAAGAAACTGATGAGAACAATGTTTGTGTGTACTGCACAGTAGTTCGCTCCATCCTACTGTATGGCTGCGAAACATGGCCAGTCACGGTTGAAGATATTCGTAGGTTGCTTGTTTTCGATCATAAGTGTCTCCGAAGCATTGCACGTATATCCTGGGACAACCGAGTAAGCAATTCTGTTTGTTAGGAAACGCGTCCTAGGCAAAGATGATAGGTCAATAGATGAAGTAATAAAACTTCATCAGTTGAGCTGGTTGAGATATGTGTTGTGTATGCCTAACCACCGACTACCTCGTCGAGTTATGTTTTGCGATTTAGGAATAGGTTGGAAGAAAGTTAGGGGCGGCCAGACCAAAACATGACAGAAATCCATGAAGTCATTGACAAGTGAACTGATTCATGTTGGTAGGTGTCGACTACCTGGTTGGGGTCCGTGAGATGATAATAATCGATGGTAAGAGATCCTGAATGACATGTCAGTTTTTTTCATGAAACCTTGATGAATAAATAAAATTGTACAAATCAATAGTTTTAATTCTATTCTAATGGTGACATATCAGAACAAGGCTGTTTTTTTTTACAGTTATACTCATCTTTAAAAATTAACTGTATTTGTAATGATTCAGATTATTCCATCGATATTAGTTGGACTGAAATTGAACCAGTCTTGTTTGGAAGATGTTTATCTTGGGCTGATTTCTTTGATATATTAACTGCACAATGACACAAGTTCATACTGAATAGATGATACATTGTGGCTATAACCCTGGAATCCAGGACGCATGTTTCATCTAACCCAAGGACCAGTGTTAGTCGATAAATTTATAAGTGGGTTGTTGTGAAGATTGTTAAGTTTTATTTGTAACCATGAATCGATCAATGTTAGACCATCATTAGAAACCTGGAAGCACTGGACGGCCGTTTCGTCCTGGTATGGGACTCATCACAACAACCCCGCAATGCAATTACATGTGTTCACTAGTGACTAGCTTGGTGAGGAATCTTCTCCGAGTTCTAGTGGGAAGTTGTGACCAGTGAAGTTCAAACCTGTTCGGATGTATACAGTGTATGAGGATGCACAACTCCGTGAATTTGATCAAGTTAGACATTAACACCGTTAGATGCCGGCCCAGCGGTCTAACGGTTAGGGCGTTCGCGCACAATACCGAAGGTTCTGGGTTCGAGTCCTGCGGGGTGCAGGATTCGTGGATGCGCACTGCCACTGATGAGTCCCATACCAGGACTTGACGGCCATCCAGTGCTTCCAGGTTTCTAATGGTGGCCTAACATTGATCGACTAATAGTTACAAATAAAATTTATAAATGAACTTCGATTCTGAAATGTGCGTAAATTCTTAGCTGACGGGTTTCAAATAATGCAAAAGAGATATCCTAGATTCCATTATTAATCATAGTTTATTATTTCTACATTATTTCCCATGTCTAATCGTATTATAAATGTATACAGTACTACAATGTGTAGTGTTGTACTATATTCTTTTCTTTTCGGTAAATAAACCGATAAAAGAGGGAAAAAAACGGGGAAACAAACCAAACAAATCACAAACCAAATAGTTAACCTCTTCTCAAGTTTTTCAATCTGTTTCATAAGAATAATAGGAAGACAAATTAGTCAATACAGTTTTAGGAGATAAATCCAGTGAATATCGTTAAGTGAGCTGTAATGCCCCAAATACTTAGAAAACTTATAAAAGGAAATATCAGCCTTATAGTTGACAGATGTTTTGGTTGTGAAATCAGAAAACCTACTCTAACAGTATATTAGCCAATAGTTACGTTTGATCATTTGGATTGGTAGAGAGTTCAGATCAGTGTATGAATCAGAAAAAAAGCACGAAGAAGAGTGAACCGACTATTCAAGTAAGCGAATTGAATTAATTTATTTACATTTAACAATCAAAGTGATCGGTGACAATGATCAACGAATTATGAGTCAGATAATTCGACAGTGGCAACTAGAAGTAATGTGGTGCACGCTACTTATAAGTAGTATATGACGTGAGTGTCAACGTAATGTCTAGCAGCAGCAGAAGATGGGGGGAAGATCAAGAAAGGAAGAGTTAGAACACAATGGAATTTCTATGAAACGCATGAATAGTGACAATGGATTGATGTTTGGCAACAGAAACAGTCCAGTTCGATATGATGAACTGATATTTTGCAAATTAACAACGATTTACGATATGGTTTTCCAATTTTACTGAGTAACTCTGTAATTTTCATTAAATACAATCGGTTGCCCCACCTGTGTTCTCCTTCACTACAGTAACACTATGAGATATTGAATGAGTTACAACAACGGGGAAATAAAGCTAATTCAAGGACACCATGCCTAGTGTGAGACTAGGTAGGACCCTAATTGGATTTCAAAAATACATACAATCAAGTAACATAATGAAAAGATTCCAAACCATTTTATTTTGATTATTAGGGAAAAATTGTAGTTTTTAAATGTATACATACCATCATGAATTAACATTATTTGATTATTTTTTAATGTTACAGTACCCTCAGTTGTTTGCAGGAATATTATCACCTTGGAAAGGATTGCTACTCTATGGACCTCCAGGTAATTTACATAAAGTCTATACAATTTCATGAACTATTAGCAATAAAACATGACTCAAGAATTTATCCTTTATCCTTTTTATAGCGCAATAGAGTACAATGACGTCTATAACTAAATTTATTAGCTATTTACTCTACAGAATGTTGTTCTTTAAAGTGAATTGAATGGAAGGTAGAAAGAAGGCCAATATTAACGTCCAACCTTCTAACCCCTAGCATTATAATATAATCTAGGAGTTGTTGAGTTATTTCGACTAGAATGTCCATACTGTAACTTGTTCGACAGAATTCGATCAGTATTATTCGATAGTGGACATTACTACTCAAGGATTAATCAATGAATGTAAAATATCTCGTGAGATCAGTTACGCCACGATTAGTCCAGTGATAACGACTCACTGTTTAGCTGGATGTGACGTTTATTCTTATATCAAATAGGTTACAACAGTTCCCTTAAGACTTCCCGTACTTAATGTAACTCGATCGTGATCTCATTACAATATAAATTTTTTTCGGGCAGGGTTTTGGAGGCTTTTGTTTCTACACATTTGAAATCATCAATCAATCATTGTTAGACCACAATTAGAAACCTGGAAGCACTGGACGGCCGCTTCTTCCTGGTATGGGACTCACCAGTGGCAGTGCGCATCCACGACTACTGCACCTCGCAGGATGCGCACTGCTGAGGAGTCCCATACCAGGACGAAACGGCCGTCCAGTGCTTCCAGGTTTCTAATGGTGGTCTAACATTGATCGATTCATGGTTTCAAAAAAAAAAAAAAATGTGTAACTTAACAATCTTCACAACCCCGTAATGCAAATAAAATATGATTTTTTTTTTTTTTCTCTAACTCTTAGGCACAGGAAAGACTTTACTTGCTAAAGCTGTTGCGACTGAATGTAAAACAACATTTTTTAATATTTCTGCATCGACAATTGTTAGTAAATGGAGAGGTGATTCTGAGAAATTGGTTCGTGTAAGTTTCGTTGATTTTTATTCATCTAACCACCGACTACTGCCTCGACGAGCTATGTTTTGTGGTGTAGGAGTAGGTTGGAAGAAGAAAGCTAAGGGCGGCCAGACCAAAACATGGCAGAAATCCATGAAGTGACTGACTAGTGGACTGAGTCATGTTGGTAGATGTAGACTACCACCTGATTGGGGTCCGCGAGATGAAAGTCACCAGTGGTTAGAGACCTTGAACGACATGGCTCAAAATCGTTTGCAATGGCGCAAGTGCATCCATTCTTTGAGTTCTCTCAAATCCTAATCTTCTGGATAAGTCAGCACCTCTACCTTGTCTTTCTAACCTTATTTCATTTAATTATACTTCTTGAATAATATCTTCGAACCCTAGTCTTCTTCATTACCATTAATACCCCTACTATCTTTATCACTATGGGATTTGATTTGACATCTGCGTCTTTGTGCTAATGTGGTATGGCAACATGAACTTATGTACATACGTACGAAGTTCTACGTTGCAACTGACTGACTATTTATCTATCATGGTAGTTGCATCAAACCTTTTTTGTATTTTAAAGCTGATTTGAACATTTGCTTCTCATCTCTTGATAAAATCAGCGTTTATTAATGATTTCTGAAGTATATAAAATCCTAGTTACTAATTTCAAAAGTCTACATTTTTGAATCTCGTTCAAATTACAGGTACTTTTTGAATTAGCTAGATTTCACGCTCCTTCAACCATATTCTTAGATGAGTTGGATTCGTTAATGTCACAAAGAGGTTCCATATCAGGTTATAGTTCTTCTAGTGGAGGGAATTCAAATCTGTCATTTGGAAATGAACATGAAGGATCACGTAGAATGAAGACAGAATTACTAATGCAAATGGATGGTCTAGCAAAATCTGATGATCTTGTCTTTTTACTGGCTGCTTCTAATTTACCATGGTAAAGTTGCATTGAATGTTATGAATATTTAATTCAAAATGTGATTATGTTATTATCAAATATTATGAATTTTCACGCGTTCAAGTTGTCCGCATTCTGTTTTATACTACTCATAAGTAGTCCTTCCAAAATTGTACAATTTTTAAGCTTTCGATAATTTTACTTCGAAGCTCTTATCGTCATTGTAGAAAATATTATCAGAAGAATCTTCTCATGAATGTGATCATCGTAAAAGTATTTCAAAAGAGATAAATCAGTCATTTCTCATGACAGGCTTCAAATTTGTTTACATGTATCGACTGACATCACGTCGTCGAACTGACGATTCATATATAAAGTATATCAGACTAAAACAAAATTCAGTAACAATTTCGATGCACGTAGTAATAAATAAGCCATTATGAAAACTGAAAACAGAAGTATTTTAAAACTATCTATCCTACAATAAACACGAAAGCTCTCCTAATTAAATTTACATGTACCCAGTATCTGAAGAAATAGCAAGGATGAATATAATCACTAGTGAATTATTCTGAAACGTGATTTCTGGCGTAAAAAAATAGGAAACTATGAAAAGTGTCTGACCGATGATATCGCACAATATTACAAATTGATTAGAGTTACAATTGTAAACCACAGTAAACCGCTTAAGTAGCCTAAAGACTAGGCACTCTAGAAGACCTGAATTTGATCGCAGGTGTGTTTGTGCGTCAGCGATTCTGAGAAGTTTCATATTAGAATGAAATAGCCATCCAGTGGTTTCTCAGACAGACAGATACAACGCAGAACTTCTTACGTAAGTACATCAGTTCAGGTTGCCATGCCCACTCAGCACAGAGACGCAACTGTCAGTTCAAATCCAAGAGTTATAGCAATAATAGAAGTATTAGCAGCAATGGAGAAGATTAGGGAGCGAAGATATGATTCGAGAAGTATAATTCAGTGAGATAAATTTAGAAGGACAAAGGTAGACATGATGAGAAATGCAGAAGCTTAGAATTTCATAGAACACAAAGAGTGGATGCACCTGCGCCATTGCAAACGATTATGATCCATGTCATTCAAGGTCTCTAACCATCGGTTACTATCGTCTCGCGGACCTCAACCAGGTAGCCTACATCTACCACTTGTCAGTGACTTCATGTTTTGGTTTGGCCGCCCCTAGATTTCTTCCAACCTACCCCTACACCACGAAATATAGCTATTCGTGGCAGTCGGTGGTTAGCCATACGTAACAAATGTCCCAACCACCTCAAATGATGAAGTTTCACTACTTCATCTGTTGACTTACCGTACCTACCTAGAACTCGTTTCCTAACGACAGGATTGCTTATACGGTTGTCCCATGATACACGAGCAATGCTTCAGAGACACCTATGATCGAAGACTAGTAACCTACGGGAGTCCTCTACTCTTAACAGCCAAGTCTCTCATCCGTACAGTAGGACGGAGCGAACTGTTGCACAGTACACTCGTCCTTTAGTCAGCAAACGGATATCTCGCCTGCGCCATAAGTGACGCAGGTTGGCAAAAGCCAATCGAGCCTTCTGTATCCGAGCTGAGAATTAGTCAGTCACCAGGTTTTCATTGGTTATCTAAGGTCAGACTGTGATACATACTGCAAGAAGATACTGTGGCGTTTTCTTTCCTATAATTCAGTCATAATTCCAAGTGTTTTCTGGAATATGAACTCAGTAGTCAATGACACTTACTCTATCAGAGTCTAATCAATTATTCTGACTATTAATCACATTCATACTTAAATAAACTTTATTATTAATCAATAATTGTTCATTAATCAGTTTACTACTAGTCAACAATGTAAATATTACACTCATAAATGCACATATTTGTCGGTCATTTTTGAATGATCTTGATATTTGATTGTGTCTTCATCAGAAAAAGGTTGCAATTAAAAACCGCCTGTGTATTGCTTATCATATTCGCTTATGAAACTGGATATCCATTACAAATTACATCCATCCTAATAACTGAATAGTTTGAACAAATTGATATTGCTTGTTATTCTATGAAGTTATTGTTAAGTACTTTACGGGGATTCATTTTCTAGAAGATCCACTTTTGCGACTACTGAACTTCTTATGATTGAATTCGATCTCATGTGAATATATTCTCATTGCAATTGCATAATATTGATTATGAATTCGTCATACAAACCAATGATTTCATTTGTGATTGTTTGATATGCAATAAAATTCTGAATCAAAAAACTGATTTAAAACACATTTATTAGTTGGTATATTAATCGTGCATCAACTACGGTAGAATAATTGATAAAACCAGCCGGCACCGGATTATAGTTTTTCCTTGTTATAAGATTTTATAGACCAGACAACATTCCATCAGAGGCAATGGAAGCAAACGTGTAAGCAACTGCAAATATATTTCACATTCTCTTCAGCAAGATTTGGAGTGAAGAACACGTACCGAACAGACTGGAAAGAGGGATATCTGAGCAAAATACCAAAGAAAGGCGATCTCAGCAAGTGTGAGAACTACATAGGCATCACTCTTCTCTTAATAACAGGTCAAGTTTTCAACAGAGTGTTGCTAAACAGAATGAAGGATTTTGTAGACGCCCAACTTCGAGATCAACAGGCTGGATATCGTAAGGATCGATCGTGTAATGATCAAATTGAAACATTACGGATCATCATTGTGGAACAATCAATTGGATAAAACTCACTACTCTACATCAACTTCATTGACTATGTGAATGTATTTGATAGCGTGGACAGGAAAACACTATGGAAGCTTCTTCGACACTATGGCGTGCCTGAGAAGGTAGTCAGCATCATACGGAATTCTGACGATGGATTAAACTGCGAAATCAAGCACGGAGGACAACTGATAGATTCTTTCGAAGTGAAGACTGGTATCAGGCATGGTTGCTTACTTTCGCCTTTTCTCTTTCTCCTGGTGATCGACTTGATTACGAAGACGTCGACATCTGGAGGGAAACACGATATTCAGTGGACAGCTAGGACCGAGCTGGGTGGTCTGGACCTCGCAGATGACGTGGCTCTTCTATCTCACACGCAACAACAAATACAAGAGAAGATAACCAGTGCAGCAGCGGATCTCAATATACGTAAACAGAAAAGCAAGATTCTACGATACAACACAACATGCACCAACCAAATCACTGTTGATGGACACGCCTTGGAGGACGTGAAAGTATCATCGACAGTCAAGGTGGATCCGATGCAGATGTGATGTCGCGGATTGGCAAAGCAAGGGCTGCATTTCTACAATTGAGAAATATCCAAAAAAATATCAATCAACACCAAAATCAGGATTTTCAATACAAATGTCAAGAAAATTCTACTGTATGGAGCGGAAAAGAACTACTAAAGCCATCATCCAGACGATGAAAGTCATCGCAAAATACGTCGGATTCGTTGGCCAGACCAGATTCCAGTGGAGGAGGAAATCAGGAAGAAGTCGATAGTACAAACACTGCGAAAAGCACCATACTGCGTCACAAAACAAGCACTCACATTGAACCCTCAAGGTCAAAGGAAAAGAGGAAGGCCAAGGAACACATTACGACGAGAAATAGAGAAAGACATGAGAAGAATGAACAAAAACTGGCAAGATCTGGAACCGGAAGCCCAGGACAGAGTCGGCTGGAGAGAACTGGGGTGAGGCTCATGCTCCATTGGGGGTAACAGGCGTAAGTAAGTAAGTAAAAGTAAAGTAAGCCAACTCTTGACTGCCCTATGAAAATAGATGCGAGTGCCCTTAATTTTTAACTACTCTGTTGAGGTTTAATGCTAGGATAAAACATTTGTTTAATGTACAATGGCTCCAAATTAAAACAACCCATGCATAAGACCACTTACAATTGAAGCTAGTATCCCTCGTTAAGAAACGATACTTCATTTCTTGCTTGAATTAATATTATCTTATCCTATAAGTCCTGTATACTATTGCATTTACAGGGAATTAGATCATGCAATGCTTCGTCGATTAGAGAAAAGAATTCTAGTTGATTTACCAAATAAAGAGGCACGAATGCATATGTTTGAATCATTTTTGCCACCGGTTATTGGACATGGTACATCAGGTGGATTACAATTAAAATGTTTTCTGGATTATGATGTAGCCGCGGAAGTAAGTTCAAGGCTTTTTTTGTCAATCTTAACATCACAGATTGAATTTGTTCATCATTCATTATACTTTAAATGGATGCAATTATTGCAGTATCTATTTTTGTAGTTAAATGTCTTTACAAGTCTCTGTTTTTTTTCATAATTTGATGCATCGTTTATTTAATGAGGTTAATGTACTTCTGTGGAACACCTCTCAATGACAGACACTGCCGCAGAACTTCACGATCAACAGAGTCAAATGCCGCCTTTAGGTCCAGGAAGACGACTATTGTAGGACACCTAAATGTGTGTCTGTGTTCTAGGACCTGTCGTAGTGTGAAGATGTGGTCTACACAACCACGTCCAGGTCGAAAACTAGCCTGGTTTTCTCTAGTCTGCTCTTCATGAGCTTTCGTTAAGCGTTGGAGTATTACTGAGGCCAATATTTTAGAAACAATATTAGTTAGACTGATTCCCCTGTGATTGTCACAAGAAGACTTTTGTCCTTTCTTATAGATTGGGACAATCAGTGATTGAGACCAGTCGGATGGAATTACGTCCAGTTCCCAGATTCTATCTAAGATCTTAGTCAACCTAGTTGCTAAAACTGGACCACCATCCTTAAATATCTGAAGGGTCAGTCTATCAGGACGTGCAGCAATAACGGTCATTACTAACAAGTCTCGAGTTGATTTGGTTATGGTCCATTCTCGGAATCAATGAAGCGTGTAACGGAAATTAGATAAAAAATAACTTCATTTATGTTTTGTTTTAGATAATATCTCTCACAGACAATCTGTCCGATAAGAATAAAAGCGATTGATATGTACTTGTGTCATAATGGCTATCCACACGGAATTCATATACACTAATCGAGACCGATCGAATTTCAATTAAAAGCAAACAATTTAAAGGCATTGTTGACATTGAAAAGTGGTCAAAAATCACTAAAACACTTTTGTTTCTCTTATCTCTACAAATATACATTTCACGACAAGTCAGGTTCATTTAGATTAATGATTCTTATCTCTACATACTACTCCTCCTAATAACAATCATGTGTCAGCTTGTGGCTTTGTTGGGTAAGAATTCGCAAAGTACTAATGTGAAACTGTGTTCACAGTGAGGAAGGTATCATTGACTGTATTTATTGACGGTCACGATGTACCACTGACTAACGTAACCATCGGTTTAATAATAAAACTCCAAATGTCAGAACTCAAAGACTTTTGTCTTGGTCGTGGATGTAAATGTTTGAAGCAGTTTTCCAGTGCCTCGTGAATTCGAGCGGCTAACTGTGTTAGTTAGTCAGTTCATGATACTCTATTTATCTGATTATTTTATAAGTATTCAAAGATTCCTTTCTTTTTTCTCAACTAAATAATAATTTTAGTTAACTGAAGGTTACTCTGGTTCAGATATACGTCTAGTGTGTAAAGAAGCAGCGATGCGTGTTGTTAGGAAAATATTTGACGTCTTGGAAAATTGTTCTAGTGAAAGTAAGTAAGCGGTTTTTGTATAATTTTTTGGGGGTAAATTAATAGTGTATTTTCCGTTCTCATACAGTAATATTATAACTTGTACAATTTCATAACCTTGAGCATAGAAGTGTTAACCACTGGGCCGACATCCAACAGTGTTAATGTCTAACTCTGATTGATCTAGGGATTTTGCGCGACCTCACCCATTTGTCTTTGGTAGTTACTGCCTACACCCGACAGGGTTGAACTCCATTGGTCACGTCTTCTCAACTAGAACTTCGAGGATTTTCTCACAAAGCTAGTCTCTAGTGAGCAGCACTGTACAAAACACAAATCTCTAAAGCTCTACCTGAAAATATCGTAACAGTGCTCACTATTGACTAGCTTCGTGAGGAAATTCTCGGAGTTCTAGTTGGGAAGACGTGATCAATGGGATTCAACCCTCTCGGGTGTAGGTAGTAACTACCAAAGACAAATGGGTGAGGTCGCGCAAAATCCGTAGATCAATCAGAGTTAGACATTAACACTGTTGGATGCCTGCCCAGTGGTTAACACTTCTATGCCCAGTGGTCCGATGGTTAGGCGTTCGTGCACAATACCGAAGGTCCCGGGTTCGAATCCTGCGAGATGCAGGAGTCGTGGATGCGCACTGCCAATGATGAGTCCCAAACCAGGACGAAACGGCCGTATTTCAGTGCTTCCAGGTTTCTAATTGTGGTCTAACAATGATTGATTGATGATTAGAAATGTGTAAAAAATATATATAAACTAGCACTTCAGAGAAATACTCTTTTGACTGTCTATACATTTCTAAAACCTAGTTTTGACTATAAACATTTATCATGGAAATAATTTTCACGTATTTTCAGTGTTTTCAGATATGTAGCCACAACTGCACAGTGTCTTGAACGAATAATTTTACAGCTACTCAACTACGTACTGGTATTTTGAACAGCTAAATTCAGCTATCAGTCCAATTGTATCTGTCACATACAGGAATTAGAAATCCTAAAATATGTTTTATAAAGACTATAATTGTTATATAAATCGGATATTTGTTAAATTTGTCTGAGTTTAGCTTGTAATTTTTAAATAAGTAGTTCTTGATAAAAGAGACTAACTACATGATGTCAGAAAAAGATTTGTTCATTAAATAATTTTTAACCAACCAATTACAAGTGAGCAGAGTACAAAACTGCTGATCTATCGCCTCAAACTGTATAACAGTGAACATTAGGACAGACGCAGAACTTCGTACTTAAGTACATCAGTTCAGGTTGCCATACCACATTAGCACAGAGACGCAACTGTCAGTTCATTTATACTCTATAATCATTCATAATTGTCAAATCTCTAAACCTCCATTTTTGTTCAAACAGATCTACCCAAAACACAAATTCATGTTGATCCAATCACAACTGAAGATGTGAAAGCTGCCATCTCATCGACAATGCCTTCAGCTAGACAATTGGCAGGAAAATATCTAGAATGGCAACAACAGTTTGGTTCTTCTTAATTATAATCTCTATTCCAAATTCAACAATATTGTCAATAGTTTATCTGAAATTATGAAGCTCTGGTCTTCTTTCTTCTTCTTCATTTTTCAGTGTCTTTCATTCATTCATTTTTTTGTTTTGAGTTGTTCCACACCAGTTGATGACCTTCATTTATTTATTTAGGCTGATTATAATATTTGAGAACACTGTATGTAGTAAATTGAAATTGAAAACCATGTGCATTGTACGGACTTGAACAGTTCAATATTCAGTATTCAATATTCAATATATTGCATTAATGTATAGCAAAATGATTATTATTACTTAGTTGATTTTAATTTAATTTCCTTGTTTGTTGTTATCAAAGATTTATAAAACAAAAAAAACAAAACAAAACAATTAAAACAAAATTTATTATTTGTACAATTTATGTGAACTGTATGAAAGAAAACCCTAATAGAAGTTTGTTCTGAATTGATTGTGTACACTCAAGTTTTGTGACTGAAGCTCAACACTGATTTGTGCTACTGATATGTAGATGATTGTTTGCAAACCAACAAGACTGTTAATCGATGCAAAGTGAAATAAAACAGAACTGTAGAAGAAGAATTATCATTTTATTCACCGACGCATTCACTAATCTGAAATCCAGAATAATAATATTGATTATTCAATAATCTAGTGCGTGTGTAAACAGTTCGCAATATCAATATAATATATCAACAGTGAATAATCAATAATAATTTTATTACCGCTCGAATAAAAATTCGGTTTCTCAAAAATTTTGCTTGATTAAAAAGAAAAAATCTAGCTACTCTGAAAGAGATACATTTTTCCCCTGTCAGGTGTAGTCAGTAACTACCGAAGGCAATCAATGAAGTTGCGCAAAATCCTTAGATTGATCAAAGTTAAATGTTCACATTTATGGGTGACGGCTAAGTGGTCCAAAGGATAAGCGTCCGTGCACAAGATCAAAGTTCCTGGTTTAGAATCCTGCAAGTAGCAGGAGTCGTGGACACTCACGGGTGATGAGTCCCATACTAAGATTAAATGGCCATCCAGTGCATCCAGGTTTCCAGTGGTGGTCTAACAGTGATTCATTCATGATTTCAAGATAAAACAGAAGAACTCTAGATATAGTTTTATAAAAATATCATAATACATTTAGTTTGTTCCTTTCCAATGCCCACTTTAAAAGAGTTGCAAATTATGCATCGAAAGACGTTGATTGCCGTTTTGTTAACATATTTGAGTTCTTTTAAAATAAATGCTGCACGTGCTTGGGCATTAACTACACCGAAATACATTCAAACACCACAATATTACGTTCATCGTATAAAAATAGAGTAAATGGTCTTAACCGGTAGAATTGTTTGATTTACATCACTACTAGATTCTCGCTGCAGTTATCATACTGACATTTGTTGCCGATGTATCCAAAAACATTTTTATCAAAGAGCGTTCTTTAATAACGACCTAGCCCAATATATTTTTTGGGCAGTTAGGTGGTTTACCCTTTCTACATACTGTTGAATGGATAAAATATCGAGTTTCAGTATTTTGAATTTTGACCGTAGACCACGTAATTTTTCAGCTTGACACACCTACGTCCCTAATATAGATATTCCCCATTATGACCTTCAGTAAAGGGTGTACGTAAATTTATAACGATTCACTAGTCGAATAGTATCAGCTTAACTCGATAGTATATGAGCTCGAATCGATTCATTGTTATAGAGCGTTCATTACATTGTAAAAAAAAGTCGCTATTCAACGCTTCATGAATTTTGTATGTTATTTCATATTAAAAGTGACTTAACAGATTTCAATTAGAATGAAGAAATCAAGAAAATTTGCTTTGATGGAATATCAAACTTTTTTCAATCTGTATGCTAAAATTTTATTCATATGATTAAAACAGGGTGAGTAGTTAGTGAGCATCACACTAAATTATCAAAGTGACCTTGTTGATGGTCATGTCACATAACTCAAAAAAATACTGGTAAGATTAGAACCTCATTCCCAACTGGATTACTAATTCAGCTCATAGATTTTCATATCAATTACCTGGTGATGAGGGCGTCCAAAATCAAAACATTTTATTTATTCTGAAAAGGTAAATTTTCGAAAAATGACTGATTAGCCGCTTATAAATTAACTTTATCTTGAGCACTGAAGAACCTTCGCGATTTCATGATAAGTTCGGACCGATTTCCTTCGTTCATTTCTTTAAATATTCCTTAATTTCCCTAAGTAATGTAATAAACATCTTTCACTATATTAACCAATTCATTTATTATTCATGCAGACATCACTCTATTTGCTACGAAGTGCTATTGATATCAGTAATTGACTATGAGTGTAAATTGAGTTGTGTTGTTGTTTTTTAAACGATAAAAACTCAAACTACCAACCAAGATAAAAAAAAGCTTTGTTTTTTACTTTGATCCTATGTGAACAGTTCATAGATCAATTTCAAATGTATTGGGAATATTTAACATGAGAATGTTTAGAATACAATGGCATTTTAATCTCTGGGTCGCTCACTTTCCAAATGTGTGAATGTTCAATCTTATTCGTTGTTTCGTTTTATTTTCTGAAATATACCTGGGTGACGCTTATAACCTAATTTGAAACCTATAGCCTGTTTTGGTGATTCTTATTTAGTGACATTGATAAATGCAGCTCTTAAATCTTGTTCATTGTAACGAAACAAAACACATGGAATACCAGTGTACTTGAAAAGTGCACATTTTATTCATATATGTAACAACTGATCAACCATGAATGAATAAATGAATGTAGAACGGAGATGCATTACCGGTCAACTCACTTAAACAAGTATACATCCTAGAAAGAAAAATAATTCATTGAGGCGAAAAAGTAGTATAAACTAAGGAAAAATTAAACATGAGAAAATAGAAAATGTACATCTAATGAAGATCACAGTTAATTTTTTCTGTTCGATGGTTAGGCGTTCGCGCACAATAATACCGAAGGTCCCGGGTTCGAATCCTACGAGGTGCAGGAGTCGTGGTTGCTCACTGCCACTGATGAGTCCTATACCAGGACGAAACGGCAGTCCAGTGCTTCCAGGTTTCTAATGGTGGTCTAACAATGATTGATTGATGATTTAAAATGTGTAAAAACAGTTAATTTTATATGAATGCACACAATAAATTGAATAAGATTTTAATAATTTATCCAAAAAGTCAAGTAAGTTCAAAAATAGTTCATATCAATTGGTCAAATCAGTTCACAATGTGTTTATAACTTACATTTCAAATGTATGTGGAGTAGTAGCTATAACATGAGATTTCGAAATTCAAGTGAAAAAATTGTCCATTTTCAGAATTAGGTCATTAAATCGTGCATGAATGAGGCAGCATTTATAAATATTGCTGAATAGGATAGACAGACAGACAGATACAACTCAGAACTTCAGGTTGCCATACCACATCAGCACAGAGACGTAACTGTCAGTTCAAATCAAAGAGTGATAGCAATAGTAGAAGTATTAGCAGTAATGGAGAAGATTGAGCGGCGAAGATATGATTCGAGAAGTATGATTCGGTGAGATAAATTCAGAAGGAGAAAGATGGAGATGATAACGAATCCAGAAGGTTAGGATTTGAGATAACACAAAGAGTGGATGCACCTGCGCCACTGCAAACTATTCTGAGTCATGTCATTCAAGATCTCCAACAATCGGTGACTATGGTCTCGCGGACCTCAACCAGATAGCCTACATCTACCTACATGACTCATTCCACTTGTCAGTGACTTCATGGATTGCTGCCATGTTTTGGTTTAGCCGCCTCTAGTTTTCTTCCAATCTACTCCTACACCACAAAACATAGCTTGTCGCGGCATTGGGTGGTTAGGCATACGTAATACATATCCCAACCACCTCAACTGATGAAGTTTCAATGCTTCATCAATTGATCTGCCATCCTTACCTAGAACTCGTTTCCTAACGATAGCATTGCTTACTCGGTCGTCCCAGTATACACGAGCAATGCTTCGGATAGACCTATAATCGAAGACTAGTAACCTACGGAAGTCCTCTACTCTTACCGGCCATGTTTCACAGGACTATGTCATCGGTATATTCTAGGTCAGTAAGCGTTTTCCCTGGTAGAATGTCGACTCCTGAAAAATCGGACGAAGTTAATGTTATATCTAGGAGCATGTCTATGACAAAATTTAACAAGAACGGGGAAAGTGGACATCCCTGACGGACACCACTTGAAGTAAAGAATTCCAATGACAGTTCGCCATAAGCTGAATACTGTCTATTTTCTACTGAAAACTAATTCACCATAACCCTAATGTGTTGTATTGAGCCAGAATTAGTAATTAATAGTCACCTTAGAATAGGTTGTTTAAGAAGCATCTGAAACAGTAACATGTTCTTAATAAGTTGGCTGGTTTTCGGTTTATTGATTAGCTAAACTTAAACTTATTAGGAATCGGGTGCTAGGTAAGAATAGCAGATCAATAGATGAAGCAATGAAACTTCATCAGTTGAGGTGGTTGGGACATGTGCTGCCTATGCCTAACCACCAACTGCCTCGACGAGCTTTGTTTTGTAGTGTAGGAGTAGGTTGGAAGAAAGTTAGGGGCGGCCAAACCAAGACATGTCAGAAATCCATGAAATCATTGACGAGTGGACTTAGCCATGTTGGTAATTGTCGACTACCTGGTTGAGGTCCGCGAGTTGATAATAATCGATGGTTAGAGACGTTGAATGACATGGCTCAAAATCGTGCATTTATGCTTTGTGTTCTGTCAAATCCTAATCTTCTGGATTCTTCAACACCTCTACTTTTGACTTTCTAAACTTTTCTCACTGAATCATACTTCTTGATTAATATCTTCTAATCCTAACCTCTCGGATTACTTCTAATTCCCTTAATACGTCTTCTACTATTGAATTTGAATTGACAATTACATCTCTGTGCTGATGTGGTGTGGCAACATGAACTGATGTACTTACGTACGAAGTTCTACGTTGCAT